TACCCATTACGCAACAGGCAAACACGGCACCAGACAACAGTGGTGCCTATTACATGGCTGTTTTTTTGTGTTGTCCGGAACGGGGCTAAATAAGGAGCAGCAAAGACTATTCAAGACAGTTCTCAATCTAGCCAGCGGAGAGTAACGAGTCAGCCAGGCAGTCAACCAACATTTGCAGTGTAGCATTTGTGATACTGCCGATGGCAGTAATTGTGAATCTGTAAATTGTGTGATTGTAAGAGCGAATGTGGAATGAAATTCGCTATATCCACTAAGGCGTGAAGTTATTTGTCGCGTTATACACCCAACACATGACAATATGTAAACTGTGTGTTTGCCTGATGATGGCTATCACAGGACGATATCAAAGAACCTCCTTCTCAAGAAAGACAGGCGGCACAAGTTCAGCCCCCATCAAGAAAGGGCTATAAGAGAAGGGACACAAACCATTTGGTTTATAAATTTTAACTTAAATAACATAAAGAACTTTAATATACCAAGACAACCTCTGTAGTTGTGAAAACTTTGCATTTTGTATATATTGTGCATTACAAACATTGTATGTGTATATATTTTAACATTCAGAGCACCCATTGTAATAGTGGTTTCCAAAGAGTATCAATGGCCCTCTGATGATGGTCTATAGGGTCCAAAACATGTAAGGGTGTTAAGAATTGAAGTAGTAAAAACTTCAACAGTCACACTGGATTGAGTTGTTTTATCTTTTATAATATTGTTAGTGTGACGGACCAGAATAAAACAAATCAAATTCACTATTTCTAAATGTCCCTTCAGTTTCATTTTCAATTTGGGAAATGAAGCGAAATCACAGGGTGCTAAGTCTGGCAGGTAGGGAGGAAAGGGAATGATAACCATGTTGCTGTTAGTCAGAAACTCTGTGGTTTACAGGGACATGTGGGCTGGCACATTGTCATGATGGAGGAATGCGGCGCATATTCAGATTTTCTATTAAGATCTCCTGGCAAACTACATAACTGATCCCAGTGGTGTCTGTGAGCTTATAGATTGTTTGGCGATGGTCTTTGTTGATGAGTTCTCAAAATTTTTCAACATTTTCTGTGGTTTTGCTTGTGCCTGGTCACCCAGAATGTTTGTCATATTCAACTGACACTCAGCCTGCCTTGAAACATGAATGCCATTCAAAAACCGCTGTCCGGCTTAAAGAATGTTCTCCAAAAGCCTCACGAAGATTTTCAAGGGTTTTAGTAGCAGATTTACCGAGCTTCACACAAAATGTGACGCAGACATGTTGCTCAATTTTACTATCCATTGCAGACAAAACAAGACATGAATTCGAAAAAGCACTTGTGTTGAAACAGTGGGTGTTCACAGTGTGGTGGCACATGGCAGACTGATGCAATAGGCTTTTGGAAGCGTGACCTTGGCCTGCTCGCTCATCTTCTTTAACTGAGGCAGTTACAACAATATTAGTCCAGGAACTTTCTGATGCCACCCCATACAATTCAATAAAAACAATATTATTACTAAACTTTAATATCATTGCTCACCTGCAAGTCTTTTGGCTGTATATGCAGTCTGCCATGCCTAGAAACATGACTGTAGGTCCAAGCTAGGAATAAGGTTGGTACTTATTTTTAGTATTCAGTTTGTATGTTGGTCAACCTGGAAAAATAAAAGATGTAGCAGAATGAATCTGGTGTTGTTTTTGTACCCATGCATATGCCAAAATATAAGATTAAAACAGCAATATAAACTCACAGAGCACAAGGATTAAGCCTCAGACAAATCTGTGAGATCTCAGAAGGGACATTTGTTCAAGGTAGTTCAACTGGCCAGGTATCATTTTCCAAAAGTTCTTTTATTATTGTCATTATTTTGCACTGAATGATTTTAAGTGTGCTTTTTCAAGGAGATATTTAGTTTCCCAGTTGTGAAAAGGTCACACAGGACCAGTCAGTTGAGTGAAGTGGGCATTAAGGTGCAAATATTTGTAATTTGATTAGAGTTGAAGTGGAAGAGCACACTGCTATGTTGCAAAATCCACTTTTCTGACCAAAGGTTTGGTCTTTTCAGCAAGTGTGTTGGTGTTCCAATATGTTAAGGTAGAATGGTTGATTGCTTCTGAGAAATTCATAATGAATTATTCTTTTAACATCAAAGAAGCAGATCAGTATGGCTTTTGCCTTTGGTTTTGACATTTGCATATTTTTTGGCCCTCAAAAAAGCATTTGACCTGGCCACTGAGAACTGGTAATTTGTTTTGGGGTTCTTGAAGGTACATTTCTTACCACTAGTTACTGATTATCTCAGAACATCCTTTGAAGAGTTGTGCTGGAAGAGCTGGGCAAATTTCCTTTCTCATAAGATAAGAAAGCCACAAAAACTGTATTCCAGTAATGGTTTAATGTAAAACTGCTGAATCATACAGTCAAATCTCTGACAGTCTTATTCATGGGCATTACCAAATCCAGCACAGAAAACATACATAAGCTTGCTTAAATGTCAGAACTCCCAGAACTAACCAACCCCATGGAGCTAAGTTCTTGAGAAGGATCAGTCAGTTAGCTACTCAAGAATTTCCCAACATATTGTGAAAGCCATTAATAGTTTACCGCAAGGAAAGGACATAGTGAGACACACAAAATCTCTTAGCCTTAGTCGGCTGTCATGCGGAGTGTATGGAGAGTGAGAGGACTCCGAAATGTTTGTTGAATGGTGAACTCTTTGTAGTTCGTAGAAGAGAAAGACCTAGGAGAGGCGCTCCCAAGACGTGAAGGATGACCTAAGATGAACAAGGATTGGTAAATAGAAAGAGAAGGCACAGGAATGAAATATATGGTGGCTAATTCTGAAGGAAACCAAATCCCACCAACAGCTGTAGAGCTGAGAAAGAAAATAATAATAAGAAGAAGAAGAAGAAGAAAAGATTGAGAAATGCAAAGGCTCATTACTGAGTTTACAAGTGCCAGCCACTAGTACCTATCCTGAGCCAGATGAATCCAGTCATACCATGCCCTCCTGTTTTTCTAAGATCTATCTTAATATTGTCCTTCCACCCATTTCTAGGTCTTCCCAATGGTCTCTTCTGGGTTTCACACCAAAATTCTATATGCATTCTTCTTCACTTTCATACATATTACATGCCCTGCCTATCTCATCCTCCCTAACTTGATTATTCTAATTATATTTTGCTAAGAATACAAGTTTTTAACTATGCAGTTCTCCCCACCCACATATTATTTCATGCCTATTTGGTCCAAGTTTTCTCTTCAGTACCCTCTTATCATTCACCCTCAGTCCATTCTCTTTCCCAAATGTCAGAGACCAAGTTTCACACCCATGCAAAACTTCAGGCATAATTATAGTTTTGTGTATTTGGTTCTGAACTGAATGGTAGGAAGCATTGCCCAAACTTAATTTCCTCAAGAATAAATTTTGATTTGTTACTCTTTAACAACACTTTAAAAGCATCTGCTAGCTACCTTCATGTTATGATTTTGCTCTGCAGTGTCATGAAGAGACAGTATATACATAATTTTTTGTGTGTTTACTTCTAGACAAGACAACCTTACTGGCATCAGTTAGAGCTTTTGTGTATTGTTCTGTGCTGTCAACATAGACCAGGAGCAGATGTATCCCATTCAGTTTAGTCCCACGTCGCTTTTTTGAACCTTCCTGATGATGTATTCTAAAACAAAGTTGAAAGCAATGACAATAAAGTATCACCTAGTTTTAGACAATTTTGAATAGGAAACATATATAAGACAGATGTTTACCTGTACAAACTGCTATAGGTTTTATTTAAATATATTTTAATAAGGCTAACTAATTTCATGGATACCCCCTCAATGGGATATTGTACAATACTTTCCTCCTAACAGAATAATAGGATTTTTTAAGTCTGTGATGTACTGCTGATATACTGTCTCATTGTACCTCCATTAAGTTGCTAACAGTGGTATGCCTTTAGTTACTACAGTCAGTTTTATCTTCCTTCTTGTAAAGTGGTACAATAATAGACTCCTTCCACTGCTGAGACAATTCTTCCTTATTGCAAATATAATGAATGAGGTTATGGATTGCAAAATGTAACATTTCACCTCCTGCTTGAATAATTTATCCCAGAATATGGTCAGTACCTGGTGATTTATACTATTTCAACATGCAGCAGCAATTTCAACCTCAAAAGGCCTTTTCTCAGGTACTAATGACTCAGATGTATATATTTCTCACGAACCCTATGTATAGAGAAGTAATTCTTCCACCTATTCAAAATATCTTGGAAGTCTGCAAGCAGATCAACATTCTGATCCTTTGCCAAGTTTTAAATTGGTTCTTACATTCATTAATTCCTCTATGTAAGTCTCTGATATCCGTGTTCTGAGTGTAACAAACTCTTTCACTCTGCTTCACATCTTCCCTCATATTGTCAGGTCTGTTCTGGACATTAATTGACTGATATTTTGTGAAAATCCATATGAACATCATACTATCGGAGGTTTCCACAGCTTAATACCTTTAGCTTTTTGCCTTGAACAATGAAGTGACTGTGCAAAATTCGGAGGTGGGAAATTGAATATGAAATTTTTTATCTTTGAAAAAATATGAAGTTTTTATTATATTATTTTTTCTGAATGATGCATGAGATGACAAGCCTTGCAAAGTATTTAGCATGCCGTTGAAAACCAATGACTTATTTTAAGGTAACATGTATAATTTAAAACTTTCAGTGGCTAATCCTTTGGAACCACACTATCAGCAGGCGCTTTTAATACTTATTTTAAATATACTATGTCAAATTGTATTGTCTTGCTTTAGAATTTTGGGTGTTGTCTGTTGTATGGTCTTCAAGAGTAAACAAATTGAAGAATATGCACAGTTCCTGCATGTACGTATCTTAACTTTGTTGCATATTTTTAGTTTGATGCTTATGGACACATGGTAAAACTTGGGTATTTATTTATTGTACTAATGTTCACAGTTGTCATGGAATATGATTGTATATTTTTTATATTTAGACATGTCTGCTGCAACCATTCTGGTGACAGGTGGTGCAGGTTATGTGGGTTCTCATTCAGTGGTGCAACTACTCACTCAGGGTTTCAAGGTGGTGGTTGTTGATAACCTAGTAAATGCATCTCAAGGTGAGAAGTAGTTAGTAGTGTTGTGTACAGTAGATTTTCAGATTAAATTGATTGTTTTATAGAGAAAAAGCCACTCTGCTGCTTGTCTTGCCTTTTTTCCTATCAGCATGTGCTGTCATTGGCTCATTTTATAATACTGAAATTGGTATGGTTATGAGGGGTCAGTGTTTTGTATTCTGAATTAATACACAAGGTCGAAAGGTGATATTGTAATTACAGTCGGCCTTTCATGTTTTGTACAAACAACAGAGAAAAGAATGACTTTTTCTCTTTGCATTTCCTTGATAATCATTCTTTTCAGTATGCCTGGATTTTGAAGACCATTGAACCTGATGTCATATTACTGGAAAATTTAGGATTTGGTGAGGCATTTTTGCTGTTTCAACTGGCAATAATTTTTGTAATGAATCCTTAAACTTGATGGGCTAGTTGAACAAGCTCTAGATAGGCAACTTGTGTTTTGGATATCATACGTTCCTTGAACCAGAGATTTTTATATGTTGATCGTGTCACGTGTTCAGTTACAGTAATATATATTACGTTAGTGTGAAATACGAGGGCAACTCGAAAAGTCTTTGCCCCTATTTTTTTCAGCCACAATAATACACATACAGGGAAATCAAAATACAGGCAGTGTTCTAAGTACCTTTGACTATTTTTCCACATAGTCACCACCCCGGTTCAGGCATTTGTCCCATCGCACCCCTAGTTTGGAGATGCCACTGTTGTAGAATTTGACCGGTTGAGTGTGGAACTACTGCCAGACAGCGGTTTTTTCATCGTCATCAGAAGTGAACTCTGGCCTGCCAGGAACTTCTTCAGTGGACTGAACATGTGGTAATCACTGGGGGCGAGGTCTGGACTATACGGTGCATGCTTCATAATATCCCATCTGAATGACTGCAGCTGGGCAACAGTCCTGTTTGCCACATGAGGCCTGGCGTCATGGAGGAGAACCACATCATCCATGAGAATCCCTGGGTGCTTTTTCCTGATGGCAGCCAGCATACGTGCAAGTGTGCCACAATAGCTGTCCGCATTGATGGTGGCACCTCGTGGCATGAAATCCAGCAGGACTGGTCCTCGGCGATCCCAGAAGACCATGACCATCAACTTCCCGATGGATGGGGTTCTGTGGAATTTCTTCGTGACAGGCGAACCGGGATGTTTCCACACCGTGCTCTGCTACTTGGATTCTGGAGTGAAATACAATACCCATGTTTCATCTCTGGTGACAGTGAGATCCAGGAACCTTTCACCCTGCTCGGAGTAACGCTGCAAATGTTACAGTGACGTCATCATTCTCTTGGCCTTGTTCAGATCATCCAACATCTTAGGCACCCACCGACATGAAACCTTGCGATACCCCAAGGAATCATGAACAATATCATAAACACTGCCATACGAACTGCCAAGCTCCTTAGAAATGACCTTCAGGTGCACACGCTGTTCCGCTTTCACCATTGCATCCACACGGGCAACGTCCGGTGTGAGAGAGGTGCAAGGCCACTCCGACCGCTCAATGTCATTAAGGTCTTCCCAGTCATTAGTGAACTCACACCACCACCACCGCACACTTCTCAAAGCGAGACATTTGTCCCCATACGTCGGCTGCATTTCCCTATGGATCTCGATGGGCGTTCATCCCTTGCTCCCTAGAAAATGAATAAAAATTCGCTGCTCATACAACGTGGCTGAGTCAAGCACACCAGCCATCTTTGTCGACTGACAATGGCGCAGTGCCACGGAGCAACCGAGAGTTAATGCTGGGCCGGTCCAAGCATACCCAGTTGCATCAAATTTATAATCAAGTTAATCACACTAATATTTTGGCTGAAAAAAGTAGGGGTAAAGACTTTTCGATTTGCCTTCGTACATAATGGACATGAGGATTTTAATGTACATTTTATTTTCTTTTGAGTCTTGTGGTCAGGCTTCCCCTAGCACTTGCATTTGAAAATCAGACTCAGCATTACTGTCTGAGTACGTAAGGTGGATTGTATATGTCATCTACTGGGAGGCTCTTACCTTAGTTGACTGGTTCACGGCTCTTAACTTCATCGCAACTGGTGAACCACTGTCTGCAGAAGGGATACCGACTTTGCTGATGAATTAGTATGGCTGATGGCAAAGTTATTAGCTTTATGGACCGCTTGACAGCATTATGTTTCACGGCAAACTGTGCAGATCATGCATGGGGAATTTGTCAGCAGTGGGCGGCGGTTATCAGCTCCATTAGCCATTTGTTCTCAGTTAACAATTAATGAGCAGTGTATTACATCATGGTGTGGTATACTTCAGAGCAAGGCGTATTTCTTTATGGCACCTATGTGAAATGCAGATCTGCTGGAAAGTATGAGCGAAAATTTTGATGTAAATTCTGTAATGAAAGCATTTCTAGCAGACAGACACTCCAGAGTTTGGTGAATGAACTTAGATCAACCGAACTCTTAATATACAAGAAACAAACATAAGTGCCAGGGTTTGCTGAGGAAAGGTTAGATGATATAGGAGCCAGACTTGAACATTTTCCCTTGTCACTACAGCCCCAGCGGGCCTAGGCCTACCTCCATGAACTTCTCCATTCAGTTCGGTTTTTCTAGATCTTACACGTATGGTAGGACTCATTGGGCGAGTGATCAGCTTGTTGCAAGGCCTCTACCTGTAAACAAACACAGAAAAACGCACACAAACTAAACATCCATGCCCTGAGTGGGATTTGAACCCACGATCCCGGCTTCCGAGCGAGCAAAGACAGTGCATGCCTTAGACTGCTCGGCTACCGTGACTGGCAGACTTGAACATACACCTAGAAATCACTGAAACATCTAGCTAAAGAGACGGGAGTGTCAAAGTCTAGTGCAAGAAAGTTAACAGAAATGCTGAAATGTAGACCCTATAAAACAACAGTAATCCATGCCTTGCAGCTGTGAAATTCAGCTCGGGGTTAATTTTTGGAGTTGGTCTCTGCTGTCGGTCATTGAAGATGAGATCAATCCACAGTTGACATTCTTTTCTGATGAAGCATGGTTTCACTTGCAGGAATACACAAATATGCAAAACAAATGCTACTGGAGTTCACAGTATCCACTTCTAACCCATGAAGCATTTAATTTCTCTGTAATACTCGTAACTACTCTTTGTGTGATTTATATTTTTTCTGTACCTCAGTATACATCAAATCTACTTGATGCTTGTCACATCTTAGTATCCTTCAGATGCTGGGATATGACAGTGTGATAGAATTTCACTACACTTTTAAAATGACTACTTCACTAGATCTGTGTACTTTGGAGAGTGAAGTTCTTAACATGAAAGAGGTTAGTCCTATGGAAATTCATAGGTACCTACATGTATTATCAGAAATGGGAGTCACTTTTTTTTCTCAAAATCAGTGAATCTGACATCAAGAGATATCACAGTGACAGTCTTATAGCAGCAGTGGAAGTTTAAAATAATGAGATATACATTCCCATTGAACATGATCACTGCATCACAACAGGGGAATTGTGTGAGGAATTTGTCAAAAGCATCGTACAGGAACTCTCATACACCCAGATTTGTTCATGGAACATCAGAAGGTGCTGACAAAAGACACAGCAATACAGAAATTGTTCTCAGAATTACTGTGTTTCCATCCTCAGGCGAGGACGAAGACATACTCAGTTGGGTCCCGCAGAAAGAGGTAACCTCAATCACTGGACATTATCTGTTGGATTCACACAGTTGTTAATCAGCTGAGACCAGGCTAATTTGGTAGGTGATAACAAGAAATATGTAATATAAATTGTGATAAAGCACGCACATGTGTGGAACTAAGATAGAAAAGGAGGTAGAAATTTGTGCTACATACCTAGGGAACAAAACCAAGTGCATGAGAACCAATGCAAAGAAGTGGATAAAGAAATTTTTGTATGGAACTCTTCAATGCTGTGAAGCAGACGGCAGGAAGTAAGGTTCCTCATCATCAGGGCATTGGCTGGCCTCAAATCACAGCCATGGGATGGACCATTTCCCCAATCTTATCTTGCATGAGTAAGGAATGGATTATATAAGCAACAACTAAGGGTGAAAGTGACTGGCTCAGATGTTGTGACATGGAATATATGGTGCATGTTTCTCCATTTGCCGATGTTCACTGCATTTTATATGGATTTTATAGAAAATAGCTTTATGTTTCTTACAATATGAGCTACTTCTGTGAGAAAGACATTGTGGTTTGATTTATCTTTCTTGAATAGATACATAGGAGACATTAATTTTGAACCAGCCATCAAAGAGTGAATTGATTTGGATTTTCACTTCCAAGAGTACAGGGTGTTCCTGTTTCTGTTTTATGCTGCATGTCACCTTATTAAATTACAGCAGTGACAGTGCCCACTCCTGTAGTTGGATAGTTCATAGCATGACTCATCTGATACACAATTTAAGTTGTTTTGAATGCTTAAGCTCTTTGTTTCAGTTACTTAGCACTGCTTCCAGATGTTTGAAAGAAATATTTGCAGAATACATGATGGTGCCTCGCATGTTGAATATGGGCTGCATGTCTCTGTATAGCTTCATGAGTGATTATAATTACAGCATATTTGCAATTATTCTGACTAGTACTAAGAAAAGCATGAATAATAAGCTGCAGCTAATACAAAATTTCCTTCTTTTCAGTTTCCATACTTGTTTTATTACAGACTGCACATTCTGAAGCCACAATTAGAACTTCAGCATTTAAGTAGTAGTACAGTTTTGTTGTAATCGCTGTGGATTACAGCTGGTGGGCATGGCTGTGCAGTAGCAGCAAAATGTTATGTGCCTTCAGCCAGTAAATTGGTGCCACTTGAGTTGTATCTGTGTAGTTAAAAGGAGTTCCCTTGCAGTATACGTTTTTTTAATTGTATTTTGCTATTGTGTCGGTATCATTTTAGTGTTCTTTTATAATGGCAAACCATGGACCCAAGAGGCAAGGGTTATATAAACATGGTTATAGTTTACAGTTATTTCAAGCAAGAAGTATAGATACTAGGCTGCCTCTTTATGACATTGCCAGAGTGCAGGCTGCACTGCTGAAGCACATGGTGATACAGAGTTAGAACTGTGGAATGAATTGTTAAGTGAAGCCAAGTCATCCCTGAAAATAAATGGAAATGTAGAGTTTCATTCTCGAAGGAAAACTCATGAAGTAAAAAATAAAGGGTAGCTGGTATTTATAATTTTGATAAGGATGTTCTGTGATGTAAGATGTTGGAAGTGTATGATAAACGTGAACTCTCAACATCAAGAGACTGGTTTGTGAAATGAGAGAAGCCGTAGTGCATGAAGGGGGCAGTCAGTCTCTGTATTGAATTTTAAAAGCATTGGGTTCATGTGTTAAAAATGCAATTATGGCAGAAAATTGTGAATGGAGCATAGAAACATTGTCTCTGCAAGAATATGTTCCTGAGGACACTGCACAGAATTAAAAAAAAAAACAAGGCAACACAGAATTATTATTTAGATATGACATAGCTTAATCAGAATTGCTCAAGAACACCTGCTGGAAGATGGGTGATGTGAAGGTGGGGTTTAAGGGTTCAAGTGGGGAAAGGAAGCTAGCATAATTTTGTGATATGACAGCTGAAAAGGATGCAATATTGGAGCCAGTAGAAATACGCGCTTCTGCAGCAGTGCATGAACATGCAACAATAGAGGAACTGTTGGAAACGGTCCTTTCTGTGCGGTTGGTGCCCAGACTATATAGCAAGGGCCATTGGAGAAAGTGAATGATGCCATGACTAGGTGGCCATGAGTTACATTTGAGAGTGAGTTGTAATAGTCACCAGCTGACAGAGGTGAGCACTGAAGATGAAAAATCTCCATTGGCAGACACTGGTACCAAGCAACGATCAGTGAAGACTTCATGTGTGCTGTAGTGACAGTGGTCTTCGGAGTGCATAAATCAGTGTGACTGTTACAGTTACTTGTAGTTATGAGATGGAAGTTAATAAATCCAATTACCAATCCAAAAGCCATGTTTAGTCACTAACTCATGACTATATATATGCCATGCCAAGTCTGCTGCTACAGGGTTCATACCTGAGAGAAAATTGTTATTCCATTCCAAATCTGAGCTCAGCTGATTGTCATATGGAATGAACTTGGAAACATTCAAGGAATCGTTTAATAACAATTTCTCATTGTGTTTGAAATCCAAATCAGTGTTTGGCTGGCAGAATGCTGAAATATCATCAGAAACTGTTTGTATATCAGAACTGAAAATGAGAATAGTTGCAAACTGCTTTGTTTCAGAAAGCATTTCTTTTGAGCAGAGATATCACAGTCATTATAGTGACTGGCTATGGGCTGGATGACCAAGGGGTCGGAGTTTGAACCGCCGTAGGGTGAAGGAATTTTCTAGATATCGTCCAGACTGGTTCTGGGGCCCACCCAGCCTCTTATCCAGTGGGTACTGGGGGCTCTTTCATTGGGGCGTGAAGCTGACCACTCACTTCCAACTAGTGCCAAGGTCAAGAAAACGTGGGTCTATACATCCACTCTCCTTATGCCTTCATGGTGTAGTGCTTAATTAGTCCTGCCTGCTCTTCTTTTACTATTTACAGTGCCTTATGATAACATTCCTAGCAGTGATGCGGGTAGGAATTACTTCCCAAATTTACATTGTAATAATTTCCTATATATGTTTTGGTCATTCATTTCCTGGGTTCTTTTGATCAGGATGGTCCACCCAGTTCTCAGGAGCCATTTCCATTCCTGTCATAGATTCAGTTACTTTTGATAAGATTTCAGCAACAGTGTAAATTGTGGTGCATGTACTCATATGTGCATTAATCATTTTGCCTAAAATTAATTTTGACTCTTTCTCAGTGACAGCCAGTGTTTGAAAATTAATTTGATAAAATCTCTGCCTTCAGTTACTGAACAGATTGGTGGACAGGTAAGTCTTATGTCTAGGAAGTATCCAGTTTGAATCTGGTCCTCAGTACTTGCTGTCCTCATTTTTTTCCACCAGTTTGTCTAAAGAAATGCTGGAATAGTAGTACAAATATGTTGTGACCACTTCCTTCCAAATTCTTACCTGCTAACCATTCTTGATCTTTCCATATTATTTGATTTTATACAGCCTCTTTGCAGCTTAAACTTCATCCTTAAAATAACCAAAAACTCACTTATTTCTCCAGTCTTCAATATTAAACAAACTAAGTAATTGTCACAATAACATGCTACAAAAATGAAATTATTTTTTATTTTGAAGTAAGTATACTTTTGTAAACTTTTTGTGAACAAGTTTTGATTCCAGACATGACTTGGATTGTTTCAGAATGTCTGAAAAGAGTTGAGGAAATAACAGGGAAAGAAGTCATAAGCATTCCTGTGGATCTGTGTGACAAGGATGAACTGGATAATGTATTCACAAAAGTGAGTAAACATGAGTAATTTTTCTCGATTTTGGAAATTGTTGCTATTACTTATATGACGTTTTTGTGTGTGGCTTTCTCCAAGATTGAGAATAGATAAGATCTAAAGTTTTGTGACCGTGGTCCATTGGTACAAATAGTAGGTCCTGAGATAGGGACTAGCTCTGTTGATTGGATCCCACTGAGTAGGTTTTACCTTAAGATGGAGACAGAATCCAATCTCCGAAACGTTGTGTTTTGAAAAATAAACAAGACGGTTTTTAGATAAAGACTAGACAATGGATAATGTCCAAGAATGTAATACTGTGTGAGATTTGAGGCTTTCACGGCGGTGACTATGAAGAAAGCAGTCTTCTGGGATTTGGCACCGTGTATATGTGGTGTTAGCCGACGTTTTGGAGGAACGTATCGCCTCCATCTTCAGGGTAGAAGAAAAAATATAAGAATTCTGCAAGCGGAGAGACTTTTACCGGTTCTCACGGTCTCTCCGCTTGCAGAATTCTTATATTTTTTCTTCTACCCTGAAGATGGAGGCGATACGTTCCTCCAAAACGTCGGCTAACACCACATATACACGGTGCCAAATCCCAGAAGACTGCTTTCTCAATGTAATACTGTACTTGTATTAATAATAGATATTGCACATATGGTAACAGCATTGCCATGCATAATGAAACAATGCATACCACTCAGATACATCACAGAGTTCAAGTTAAATGCACAGTATGCAGTAACATATAGTCTAATTGTACTGTTATCCAGAAGTGGTAGGCTTGGTCTTATGTAGGGAAATGAAAATGCATAACTTATCCTCACAATTTATTGCAGAGACATTGTCTCTTTCATATAAACTGAAGTCACTGAAATGCAATCAAAATTCAACTTATCTTCCTTGGATTTTTGCTTATAATACAGATAAACGTGTCTCTCTGCTGCTAAACATGTGTTTGTTGATAAAAGCAGTAACCACAGTGAAAGAATTTCTCTTTCTCTCTCCTGACTTGCAGTATGTTGTGGTTTTCCTAGATTTGCTTACTTTATCCATCTTGGATCTACACATTTTCCAGAGAACATTGTTTTTAAACATCTGTAACTTTTGATTAAATTCTAAATAAGTAATAACCTCCTGTTTGGTGGCTACCAGTGTCTCTGTCCCAGGAGTTAAGCAGTGGGGGCATGAAGCTGACCACTCACCTGTAAACATTGCTGTGGTCAAGAATGATAGAACTATACCTCCATTCTCCCATGTGCCTCTGTGGCGTGGTGTTTAATTGTGTAATTAAGTATAAGCGATAAGATTACTTACTTACCTTGTTTTAATAAATTGTTCATTTTGGATGGTACTGTGAGCTATGCTGATATCATTGTAGCTTGCTTTAAATTTTATGAAGGTTGCTGAGCATTAATGGTGGTGAACCTGAAGAACATGAGGCATTCATGCAGTTTTGTAGTGTAATGATAGGGAATTAAATTGGCATAATTTTCTTTAATGCCTTTTTGATTATACAGTACTTTTCTGTGGGGGAAGCTTAAAAGGTCCCCACATATTTCGTTTAACTGTAATGTTCAGCATGATGCATTCAAATATGCTGTGGCCTTTTTCAATTTTTAGAATTGCCTGATTTCGTTTATCAGTACTGATATACCAGCTTTTAGCCTACTTTCTTTGTTTTGAAAAAATGAAAGTAGAGGTATGTGATCACCTTGCTGTGTGTCTGTGTGTGTGTTTGATGTTTGTGTCCCTGTTAACATTTGAATATGTGAACCAATCTTTAAGAAATTTCGTATGTATATCATGGCAACTGACCCCATCTCAATGGCGTAATTCATGAGTCCCTCCCATCAGCCTTTTATATTTCTGAGGCACAACCTTAATATTAATTGAACACCTTGCCAGTTTTCAAGAAACTTGGTATGTATTTCATGTTACATGAAACCATCTCAACAGCATACCCTGTCAAGTCCCTTTGATTGGAGTACCATCATTACAGCCTCTCAGATTATTGTGTTAATAACCATAACGGTACATAAATGCGTGAACTGATGGTCGTGTAATTTGGGACGTATATCATGCCAGCTTACATTACAGCCTCTCATACTGCTGAGACAGAACCTTAGTATTCCTTCAGCACCTAAACAGTCATGCTACCTGAACCAATCGCAACAATGCACTTCATAATTCCTTTCCATCAGTAAAACCAACATTACAGCTATTAAAATTGCTTAATATTGCTGGGATGCCAGTATCAGTCTTCATGAAACTTGATATATACATGAAGTCATCTCAACAGCATACCCCATAAGTCCCTTCTATCACTAGCACGAACATTAAAGCCTCTAAAATTGTTGCTGCAATGACCATAATGTTACTTAATGCCCAAACCAATCATAGTGGAACTTGGTATGTGTAACATAACACCTAAGCACATTTCAGTGGCATGCATCAGGTCCCTCTCATCAGTAATATCAACACTGTAGCCTGTCAGATTGTTGAGGTAATACCCTTGATATTACTCAGATGCCTGAACTGATCATCATGAGACTTGGTATGTATATCATGCCACCTGAGATGTTGTCAACAGCATACTTAAAACATCTTGCCATTAGTAGCACCAGCACTACAACCTCTCACACTGTGAAAGTAATAGTATTACCTGAATGTCCAAATCAGTCTTTATGAACCATGGTATGTTTATCATGCCATCTGAGACCATCTCAGTGGTGTACCTCATAAGTCACTCCCATCACTGCAGCCTCCCAAACTATATTTTTTATTGACTTCATTACACATACATGCAGTATTAAAGTTTTCATTCTACCTGTATCAGATACTCAAATTACAGTGAAAGTAAAGTAAGCAATTAGATCTTCCCAGAACTTCTTGTATATTATTAAGACAATCTCACGGCCATGAACCACATTTTTATAGGGTTCACATCCTTCATCTCATATTTTTACAAGAGTGCTTCAATAACGATCACTTGGAAGTCTTTTGAAAAGCAACTTTTCAGTATGATTTCCATTCTGTATTTTCTCTTTCTTTTAACCGTCAGATTTTGATAGGAATATGATACATTTTTTATACACTGTAGCTGACCAACTTCTCACAATCCATTTATTTTGTTGTTTCTTACTGGCATGATTTTCCTATACATTAATTTTCATCTTATTGTATGTGTTCCTCCATGACTGATAACTTGACTGAAATGTTAAATACAATGAAGTAGTGAGATTCTTATGTTGGAAAAAGGAATGACAAAGATTCTCTCCTCATCGCACTATTGGTCACACCATATCATAGGTTGCTGTTAATTTTTCATATTGAGACTAACGTTATGTATTGAAACATTCTCATTCAGTATTTGTGTTTATGCTCTTTATTGTGTTCAGATATGCGCTCGGTGGTGCACTTACTGTGAGGGTGATTCAATGTTAACCTGGTCTGCATTTCTTTTTTCTTGAGAACATGGACACCAGAAAAGGAAAACTTTTTTATGGACAATTGGAGGTAACACTGCACCCACTGCCTGGCAGGTGACCATCTCCACTTCTATGCATTAGAGCTAGTGTAAGATGGCACCCCTAGTGCAGAACAGCACTCCTAGTGCACTTCCTGGTGAAGGAGGAAGTGAAACCAGCAGAAATTCTTTGTAGGTTACATTCAGATTATGGAGAAGAGACCCTATTATGTGAAAGAGCCTCTGATTGGTGCAGTAAGTTTTCTGAAGGCCATATAGGAGCCTTGAATGTACCACATGCTCATTTTCATCCAACTGATTCATAAGGAGTGATACATGTTGATTTTCATCCACATGGTATAATAGTTAATGCGCAGTATTACAGTAACCTCTTTTGCAGTGATGTGCACCAAATGATTTGGAAAGAAAGACCTATGAAACTGTCAGAGAAGATCACCCTGCTGCATGACAACACTCATCTTCATAACAAGAATTTGATGGTGGCATAGACAACAGTGGGCTGGGAAATCATGAGCCACTCTCCTTGCAACCATGACAGTCCCCAGTGATTTTCATTAGCTTAGACCAATGAAGGTTCATGATGAACACAGTGCTCTGAAGTGGCTGTGCAGTCAGCAGAAAACCTTTTATGCTGCTGGCATCAGTAATTTGCCAGGGTGATGGAAAAAAAATGTGTTAATGTAAAGGGAGAATATCTTGAAAATGAGGAGCAGACTGGGGATTCTGCCACATGTATTCTTTCTGTTCAAGAAAAAATGAAGTCCAAGTCAACCTTGAACCACTCTTGTATTCACTAGAAAAATTTATTATGACAAATTTTATATAATGAACACAATAAAACATACTGCTTCCTGCTGATGCTAATTATCATTAACTTGCAACAGAATGAGCTAATTAAACTGAAAATCCCCTTTCATATACTGTTACTTGTCTCCTTAAATTACCACAGTTCTTGGTGACTATAATATTTTTTCAGGCATAGTGCAGACAGTTAATATTTTGCTATTGCCGAACTTTTAATTCAGTTGAGATAATTGTATAGTGATTTTTTTTTTAATAAATTAACTCTTGAAGATTAAAATAGTAAGTAACCCATGTCTACCTCGCAAGTAGTTTGCCTGTGGGGCCCTTGCAGGGTTGACAGTTGTGGAAACATGGATTAGTATGATGGCAAAATACATGAACCCCCGCTCACTCCCCCCCCCCTGTTTTGCACCATACCCATTTGTTTCTTGGTTATTCTGAATTGTGTTTATTATGTCAGTACCACATTTGATGAAAGAAATTTTGTTGCAAAACTGGTCACTACATTCAGCCTGTTTACATCATAGCACATTCATTTCAACCTTATTCCATATCATAATCATATCATAATATCATAATCAGTGCTATTACAGTTCTTAATGCATGGTGAAAGGTAAAGCAAAAGTAAAGCTATCCCTGTAACAGGCCGTGGAGGCCCATAGGGTTGTGAGATGTTGAGGTTCCCACATTTTCTAGACAGTTGGCTCATAGATGGTGGCAAGGTTGTCAGCCTTACATGCTGGCTGCCCTTATATTCCTGGTACTCATTTCTGTTAGAGGCTGAATCGACCCCAAGGCCATAGTGCGGCTGGAAGTATTAGGTCGATTGAAAAAATTCCAATGACCTCATGGGCACTTGAACCCACAACCTTCCGGCTTGTAGCATAGTGCCTCAACCAACTATGCTACTGCATGCCTCTTCTCAGTGTATGGTGGCTTGTACAATCTGTATATGTGTGTGTATATATATATACACACACACACACACATATATATATATATATATATATATATATATATGTAATAGGCTGTTCCTCCTGTGTTGAATTGTAGTGCTGTTGTTTTGATGTGAGGAGAACTCAGATATGTAAACATCTTACAATGCTTGATAGTAGCAACAGATGGCATTAATCATCAAATGACTAGATATCTTTACTTAAAGTGTTCAAATATAAAGGAGATGTGGGAATGAAGTGAAGGGAATGTTAGTAAATCATGCAAATAAGAGGGATAGGAAAGGGAGATCATGAAAGTATGAATGGTTCAAAGGGAAGGCAGCACAGGGGTAAAGAAACTATTTTAATGGAAAGGAGAGGGGAAAAGGAGGCAGAAATGGAATGATGTTAGGATGGACAAATACAAAGAATGGGAAAGGAATGCAGGATAAAGAAGAGAATGGGATAAGATTATGAGACTTCCCATGAATTTTCAAGGGGCATTACACTAGCAACAAAACAAGTCATTTTCTGGATTTTTCCATACAGATTTTATCGCCATTCTCTTATCACTTCACTGTAAGTGTTATACTTGATATGCAATTCCTACTGCCAGTCACAGTGACTGCGTGGTCTAAGGCATGAAATGTCTTTGTCTGCTGAAACACTGAGAATGTGGGTTCGAATCCCATGCAAGGCATGGATGTTTGTGTTTGTGTGTAAGTAGTGGCCTTGTGATGGGCTAATCCCCTATCCAAGGAGTCCTACCAAGATTAAGAAACTGAAGTGAAACAAGTGTTTCACGGATGTCATATGCCCCAAGTGGGAGCAACAAGAATAGACAAATAATACCTAGTGTAATCAAGAAATAACATGACATTAAGTACAGTTGTGGTCTCTCAGTTATTGTTTCAAGCCACTTAAGGGAACAGTGCAAATTGCTGTATGCTGAATGGTGTTGGTATATATGATTCTGTATTAAAATAATCCATGTGTGTCTGACATAGCAATAAAAGCAGCGAATGATTGTAATTTATCAGATTATCTGTCACTGTTGCATTAAGTGAATAAGCATTATTTTTTCAGGAAGCTGTGACTGGTAAAGGATAGAAGTCTTAAATATATAGATTTATGTTATTGTGTTGTGGTGGTCTTATTTTCGTTAAAACCTGCCCCAGAGTCACTCTTCACTATAAACCCATTTTTTACACTTTCATGGTGGAACCCTGGCCTGCATAGTGAAATGCTAGTATTGTAACTGCCAGAGATATAGCACAGGACTGTTCATAGCAGCACTTGACATGTGGTTAAGGTCATTACGTAAGAATGTTGGAAATGGGATGTACAGGTTAAAACTGGCTCTAATTTTGAAACTGACTTATCCCTTTGAATCCAGATCAACTCATTAATGCTAATTAGGGAAACTCTGTTTATTCTGAATCATGTAGAACACAAATATGTAGTTCTTACTGTTAAGGCCGGTGGCACATGTAGTAAGTTATGAGCCTNCAACATAATCTACATACCAGACACATATCAACGATGTAGATGTTGATAATACGAAGAATGTGACATTGTGTTTTTAAATGTTAAATTTTAGACCGGGTTCAGTGTGGCAGCAACGTTAAGAGTATACACCTGATGATGGCCGATAGAGGCCGAAACATGTAGTGTAGAAAGAACAAGATCAAAGACATATAATATATATTGTTTGCACTTGGGACGGAATTTGTATCATTTATCGTATAGAGTGCAACAGGATGCTTAAATATAATATTATGAGCCTTAGGGTTAAAACGTTGGTTAGACAGAAAATGAAATATAATGCCATTGTTTTATTTTTCAGTACAAAATCAACTGTGTGTTACATTTTGCAGCACTGAAAGCTGTTGGAGAATCTGTTTCTATGCCTCTCAACTACTACAGAAATAATGTTGGTGGATCAATTACATTGTTAGAGGTAGAGTATAGAAGTGCTTCCTACAAGATGATTGAGTTTAGCATTTGTCTATTATGGAGTATAGGAGTATAAACTATTGGTTAAAAAAAAAAGAAGTAAAGCTATCCCCGTACCAGGCTGTGAAGGCCCATAGAGTTGTGAGACGTTGAGGGTCCCATATTGTCTAGAAAATTGGCTCAAAGATGGCGGTAAGGCTGTCAGCCCTACGCGCTGGCCGCGCTTTACTCCCCAGGAAAATTATTTAATTAATTCCTGGTACTCATTTCTGTTAGAGGCTGAGTGCCTAGTGCGGCTGAAAGGATTAGGTAAAGTAATATAAACATTGGTACAAAATAAGATTGTCACTATACCTCCCCAATTATATTTATTACCCTTCCATATGCTTATTGCTGCCAGTTCACATGCATACTTCTCTGCATGTGTTATGTTCAGCAGCTTCTCCCCTCTTTATCCTGGAGTTCGAAGGGAACAATCACTGCATTTGTCCCTGGTTCCATCTTTGTGTTCTTAGTGCTCCCCAGATGGAATATGGTGTCCAAGCTTTGAGCATTACTCAAGAAAATTCAGTATCTCCAAAATAAATATTTAATAACAGTTAATAATAATAGAAAAATAAATAAGACTTAAACCATTACATTAGTGCTTAAGACGTGCATATGAAACAAATCTGCGTCCTTGACCACCTTGGTTATTCCAGACTGAAACCCAATATAAAAAATATACATTAAGTAGTCACACAGAACCATCTAACCTACCCCAGACCTAGAAAATGGCCTCACATAACATTCCAAGACAACCCAGATCACAATATTACCCCTGTTATTCAGCCATGCAACAACAATAAATGAGGCAGCAGCAAGCCCAAATAAATAATAATATAATACCAAACAAAACTTGTTACAACATCTCCAGGTGAATACAGAAACTTACTGTTGAAATGAGGAGGCCCGTTTCCATCAACAGCCAGAGCAAAGAAGCCAAACCATTTAGACATCCCAGTCGAAACAGAATTTAGTGACCTGTTTTACCCAACTGCTTAAAAGCAAAGAGTGCTCTCTTAAATCACCCCAAACCGTTTCTAAACAAGGGAGGAAGGGGAAATCACGTGGTATGTGGAATTATGGGATAACAGTAAATGACTGATGTCACAGATGCTGGGGGGGATATGAAGCAACTCCTGAGCCATCCGAACATAGACATGACTCATTGTATGAGGTCCAATCTACTTACGTCAAAAGGGTTTGTGCCTGATGCACTAGAAAAGATAATATTTCACTTGTATCTAAGCACCATGTTGTAAGAGACATGGAGATGAACCTCCATTGTTCCAGACCTCAAGAGTGGATGGAAGTGAGGTCACACTCCTGCCAAGTGTAGCAACCATAAGAGAAACTGAGGTTTATTCATTTAAGGTGTTGGGTGTGTTATAAAGGTTTATGTTTGCTTTATTTATACTGAATATTATGAGGCAGTGATAAGGTAGAACTTTTCAGAGATTGGATTGGATTGTTCTACTTCATGCTGATAAGTCTATCCATTTTATTGTGATCTTTAGGCATAGTAATATTTCACTGTATTGAAATGGCTCAGGGACATTTTCTTCATAATTCAGTCATGTTTTCTTATAATATATGTTGAATAGTACGTACATGTTCTTGGATTACAGCATAAACCCATATTTTCCTTTGATTGTTGCTGATTACATGTTGCCTTACCAGAGGTCCCACATTTCCACTTCTTCGTTACATTATTTCCAATGACTGAAATGGTTTCATAATGTTTGTACACAGTGTAAGTTAAATCCAGGTAGGACAATCAAATGGAGTTAAACTGGAGAGTTTGATGGCCATCTTATGAATTTAACAGATTTTACTGTAGTGCCATCTGACACTATGAAAACATGGGTAATGTGACTTTAAAATTGCCTAATTTTGATGTTCGCAATGGAAAATACTCTTTTTATGTAACAGATCAGGTGAACTGAATAAATCGTTTTATTCATGTGTGCTACAAAGCAAATGCGAATTTGGTTCACGTCTATAGGGCTATTCATATTTACCATTAAGTTAGGAAGAAAAACATCATCTTATGCCATTCAGTATGTACTCCATGTATGAGATTCACTTATAATTAATTATTCAGGGAGTCTAGAAGTACCCATAAATGAATGTGTTTGTGGATACAAATTATGAACTTTTGCAGTGGATATGACTGTTAATGACCTCATTTACTATGACCTAGAATGGATGTTGTGTGTATTTTTTCTTCTGAAAAGTTTTATCATTGCCAATACTTAACTGGATTTTTTAAGTTTTGCATTTACCTGGCCTTCCTGAATGAACTTAATGGTCTATATGTAGGAAACCCTGAGAGAAGACAGAATGTGCAAGTTTTTGTAGCTTCAGTTATTCTTTAAATTAAACATTGCAAATTTTTAATCTGTAACTCAAGACTAATTTGAGTGATGTTCAAAATTTGGTAGAGGCATTACTGAGGATAGTATTGGCTGCTTTTTGTTGTAACTGCCATGTGTTTGTATGTAAAAATTTATCTGTTGTCTGTGAACCGTTTCAGTAACATGTGATCATCTGTTCATATGGGGTATAATTAACGAACAGTTCTGTAAAAATGGAAAACTTACTGGTTTTTTTTTTTTTGTGTGATAGCAGACTACTATATTACAAGTAGTTACTATAGGATTCTGACGATGGTGTATAACACACAGAGATATTGGGTTTTTGGACTTTATCCATCGTCCTGGTTTTAAGATAACTAAGAAAAAAACAACGTTTCGGAAACTGGATCTGTTTCCGTCTTCGGGTGAGGGAAAGAGCTAGCCTCAATCACTGGATTGAGGCTAGCTCTTTCTGAGGGACCCAACAGAATAGGTGTTTTCCCTCACCTGAGGACGGAAACAGATCCTGTTTCTGAAATGTCGTGTTTTTCTTAGTTATCTTAAAACCAGGACAATGGATAAAGTCCGAAAACCCAATATCTCTGTGTACTGTATTACATATTATTGAACTGGGGCAAGTAGTACCAGTTTAAACAGTAATTGCTTTATTCTGTATCCTTGGTTTATTTCCATAGTATATTTAATATGTACTATACAGACATTCTCATCTTGAATATTAGGAAAGTTTGAATATTTTGTTAATAATATAGTTTCCCTGCTTTCTTGCAGGTAATGAAAGCGCACAATGTGAAGAAGATGGTTTATTCTTCTTCTGCTACTGTGTATGGAACACCTCAGAAACTTCCTCTCACAGAGGATCACCCAACAGGTTTAGGATGCACCAATCCTTATGGCAAATCCAAGCACTTTGTTGAAGAGATTCTCAAAGATTTAGTTAAATCTGATGATGCATGGTCTGTGATTTCACTACGGTACTTCAACCCTGTTGGAGCTCATGAATCTGGGAAGATTGGAGAAGATCCAAAGGGAATTCCTAACAACATCATGCCTTACATTGCACAAGTAGCTGTTGGTAGAAGAAAGGATCTTAAGGTGTTTGGCAACGATTACAACACGCCTGATGGAACAGGTGGGTCTGTTCTCAAGAAACCAGAAGTCCAGTGTCCTTGGTCTCAGGAGAGTGGATGGAACATGTACCATATATTTAACTGTTCTGCATTACAACCACAAAATTATTTCCAGTAGACCAGTACTCCTGTTGAAGTACAGTTACCTGCAGTGTCTAGGTAGTAAACAAGATGAACAGCTAAATCTTAAGGAATAGCTCTAGTATTATGAATGCATGCTTCTACAGACAGTTTATATCAGTTTGCCTTTCTTAACCCTTAATACATGCTATGTCTACAACATTCTTACCCATGCATGCCAATTTTTTTTTAGAAAGTTTGTCAAGAAAATGTATTGATAAAGTGAAAATAAGTGTTTCTTTAAACCTGAAAATGGAGGCAGCGTGTTCCTCCAAAAATCTGGTATCTTCATACAACACTACAGTGTCACAACCCAGATGGCCACAGTGTACACTCACTGCCATAGAAACCTCAAAACTCTCATTAGTATCCCTCCACAATATGAGTCTACTGATGGGTTTTGTGTGACCAGGTTACAGCATTGTTTTGCTGCTGTGACATTTACAGATGTGAGCAACAAGCTGCATGCTTTCAGTAACTGGTACCTTACTGGCATTAAAAGTGATTCAGTATGTTTGTCAAAATATGGGAACAGTATTTTAGCTTCATTTCTATGCTTTGCATCCTGTTGTATATATCTCTTACTATTGTAAATTTGTCCGTCAGTCACAACAATTCTACACTTCAGTGAATAAGTGATAGGCCCGATGTCGATAAAATCAGTTAGTTTATTGGACTGGATTACAGCATTTAAATATGTTGAAATATTTATTCAAATAAGGTTTATTTGTTCTATACTGGTATGCTTTTGCATATTGGTGCTTTATTTTAAGGTGCTGTTTCCTGGTTTCCTAGAAATGGATTTTGTATGATGTTAATATACCATAGATTAGAGTTATGAATATTTATTTAGTGTGTGTGTGCGTGTATATATATATGTGTATATTGTTAATGTGTAGTTTCATTGCTTCTTCAGATGTGGTGTACCCCATTATGTTGCTGGTTCTCATTTAGGTACTATCAGGAATATTACAGTATGGGAGGGTGGAGGAAGAAGTTTCAAAAACAAATCGTATGCAGTATATGTGCAGCACTGTCCCTACCCCATCCCACCCATAAAAACCCTTGTATATAATAAGATAACCTTTAGAGAATAAGAATAATTTTAAAATAAATCTTATTAATTTTAATACATATTTCTATATATTTAAATATTTTAGTTCTACATAAAGGCTTTATGTAATAAGACTAACAACAATGGATACATTGTGACACACAGTCCAGTAATGACTGTAGATACGTTTTACACCTGACAATGACCGTTAACAACTGAAACATGTAGCACATAAGAAACATCCAATAAACTAACTGATTTTACTGATATTTTAGGCTATCAGTTGCAATTAACAGACAAATTTATAATAGTACAGTGTTTTGTTTGCCAAGTAGGTGTCAGAAAAAAAAATTACAGACTGGGAGATCCGAGACATAGCGTGATGTAGTCTGCTTCAATATACTCATCCATAGCAGTCAGAAAATTAAGCTGCAAGTAGACAAGCAAATATGCATACTGTCTTTTATTAGGGACTAGAAGCCAATTTGATTGGTAGTTGAATTTATTAGATACTACTCCTCTTAGCCACATTTTTATTAGCCTTCATCATCTACAAATAACTACAGCACATTCCAAGTCTTGCAGATTAGCTGTATCTTCATGTACTTTTTGCTTGGTTACAGCTTCTAGTAACAGGGATTCTCTCCCTGCGCTTGATCTTGAAGGCTCTGGCTTTGGTTTCAAGTAAATAGCTGCTGCTCTTCACCAGCACAGTCATTCTTGGTTCTGTACCCAGTGAGACCCATGACCATATTTTTCTGTCCCATGACACTGACTGAGTTGGGAGACTGACTCCTGTCTCGCTGTGGTCAGCTGGTTAGGTAGATGGTGCTGGCTGTCATCACCACAGTCATTTTTGGTTCCAAGTCCCACAGGACTCACGAGTGTGGGAGTTGTCTGGCTCTAGGTCTCGCTGGCCCTCTTTGTACAGCTATGTATTGAACTTGCCAGAAAACACTGCCTCAACAGATACTCTGCTCTTGTGTGCATGCTGGTTGCTACAGAAATATGTTTTAAGAGGCTGTTCTGTATCACTGGATGTCTCTGCAACACTTCTTTGACTCCAGGATTCTGACTTCTAGGCTTCATGTCACAGTACATTATGTAGTGTATGTGTTCATGTGTACACATATCATGAGATGGTTATCCTGTAATAACATTTGGAATAATATTTATAAAGTATGATATATTTATTTCATTACTGGCCTTTAAATGCCATAGATTTTAAATTTGTATCTCAAAATGGTATTCATATAACTTGTATGCTTCACATTTTGATTGTATGTCAATAATTTGTGAACTGTTGTAGACAGAAATTTGGCATTGTGATATGTCATAGGTAGCTCACATATTTAGTTGGTATGTCTTTTCTTCTTCCTCTTTAACCTCCTCTTTTGTAGTGGTAGGGAAGTCAGCATGCTACATGTGAAGATGCATATGAAGTATAGAGATTTGCAGCCCAAATTGAAATATCATGGCCATATTAATGAAGTGAGGTATCACTTGTCCACTTGTTTCCATTTCTAATGCAACATAAACTTTTATTTCAAATTACCATTACAGTCACATTTAAATTTCCTCACATGTCATTAGAATCATATTTAATTTTACTGATTTGGCCCTATAGGGCCATCCTGAGGCAACTATTAATCAATGGAAACTGTTGTGCATCAGCATGCATATCAATATATTACATACTTCTTTTGGCTTATTTTGGACTTCACCCATCGTCCGGTATATAAAAAAGACAAAAAACCACAACGTTTCGGAGACTGGATCTGTCTCCGTCTTCAGGCGTATAGGGAAGGTTTAACCTACTCAGTTGGGCCCCTTAGAAAGAGCTAGTCCAAAATAAGCCAAAAGAAGTACAGTATACACCATCGTCAGAATCCTTTCAAGTCTATCCAATATATTACATGCTACTAGTGCATGTCATCGTTTGAGAATGTATGCCCACACTACATTCACACCCCTCATATTGCGGTGTCCATGCTGTGGTCCCTTTGTGCATAGCTGTCCCTAGTCTGGTATATATCCCTTATATTGATTATATTCTATTATGAAGTGAGGTATGAAATAGAATTTGAAACTATTTTTATGCCTTGAGGAATTCCAGCTGTAATTTAACATGATATTCAAGCTTAAATTCTTTGGTATTAACTGAGCTTGAAATACATCCATGAAATGGCCTTGTCATAATGGACTCACTCTGTACCTCTTGTTTTCATGCTGATTTTGACTTGGAATACCAACTTCCACTTATACAGTGTATTGCCATTAAGAATTGTTATTATCCTCTCAGAGAAGTGTCAGTAGCACATGACATCTGTTAACATATTACTGTGACTTTATTTTTGGATAGGAGTGGGGAGATCAGAATAGATGCCCAGAGTGACCTCCCCATGTAAATTTACAAATGTGTGGGGGTAGGAGAATTGAGCACTAATCATAAGAAACCTTAATTTGAAGAGATTTAGCACTGAGATAGTAAGAGTGAACATTAAGTTACAAAGCATGTACTGTACTGTGTGCAGCTATTTCGTAGTATAGATTCCAGTGCATGGAGTTCTCAGAGATAGCACAAAGGGTTTGTTCTGATGTACAGTTTGTTCAATTCTCATCTTATTTCTAATTTTCTACAAAATTTACTTCAGAAGAATGTTATATATTTTGAAGTATTTGTCACCATACAAAATTTCAGACCTTAGTGTGAAGTTATGTCACCCTTGCCATGTTCTTGACAATAAATGTAAGGTAAACTGCTCTGTTCCTAAGCACATAGCATATACAGGGTCTGAAGGTTTCATACATGTGTGACCTTGGAACCTGATGGAATTCAGTAGTCATCCTCACATTTCAGTAAATTCACTCCAAAGGAAAGGGCCTAAGGTGCCCACTGAATATGAGGCTGACAAATAAAATTTGTAGCAGTGTGGTGTCCTTCATTTGTGTTCTTCATTCCAGAGCTTAAGTAATTTTGTTAGAAAGTCATTAGGGGGTGAGGTATCATAAGTCCATTTTCTCACGGGGTGAAATAGTCTAAAAATGGTAAAACTTAATTTTGCATGATACATATTGAAACATTTCACAAAATGGAAGAATAACGTTGATACTCTGAAACATAAAACAGGCCTTCACAAACTTTCGTAATATCTGGAAGTCACTGTCAAAAACTAGGAGCCTGAGTAAAGAAAAAAAGTGAGTGAAAACTTCACTCTCTTTTTTTAACAAAATGATAGTTGAAATGCCTACATGTATGTAATACCACAGTCATTTCCTTTCATGCTTAGGGTCTAGGGTATGAGGAGAGGCATGATTGAGGTGTGGTAGAACATAGGAGACACCGTGTCATAGTCATTTACTGGCTGTTATATAGCAATGGCCCACATGTCTACCGGCCATTGCCTAGCCAAAGCTGCCTCCTCTCACTCCACTCTTCCGCCTTTCATCCATTATGTCACATTATGAAAGGAATAAATGAAAGTAAGTGCCATGAAATGTTGAAATGCCATGGTGATTTGGCAGCTGAGGTATGTGCAGGCCTGATGTAATAGATGCAGTTTAATTTTATTAATTGTAAGCCTTTTCATTTACTTATTCTCCCTCCCCCTTTACATATATTTTCCTAATTGTGGATTTCATTGTTATTATTTCTGGTTGTAAGTATTTCTTTGACAGAGAAGTATTGTATAAATACGAGCTGTCACCACAGCTATATATAAAGTTGCATCTAACATGATAACACAGAGTGTCTAGCATTACTTGCAGTATTTGACAAATTAAGTTAAGAAAAACATAATGTAAATAAGCTAGAGGAAAATTTTTAAGTATTAATTTTCATAATATTTAGGAGTCAATTTTACAGAGACCTTTAGTAAAAGACTACCCTTTTCTGTTCTGTGTCTCTTCTGTGTTTGCAGTTTTTTTGTTTAGCATTCTACAGTATTATTTGAAGGTCACAGGGGTTCTACACACACATTTTCTTAGCGTTTTCATTAGGTATTTTATTTCTGTTGAGGAAAGGCGTTTGTGAAAGGTTTGGACAAGTGGTGCCCACCGTAACGTAAGTAACATCATAATTGCTTGTTTCAGGGGTTCGGGACTATGTTCATATTCAAGATCTAGCTATGGGACATGTTGCAGCACTAACCAAGATTCTGACTCCAAATTTCTCTGGGTGGAAAGTATACAATTTGGGAACAGGTAGTGGTTTATCAGTTCTGCAGCTGGTTAAGGCATTTGAAGTGGCATCAGGACAAAAAGTGCCTTACGAGATAGTAGGGAGACGTCCTGGAGATATTGATGCTTCTTATGCAGATGTCTCATTGGCTAAGAAGGAACTTTGTTGGGAGGCCACAAAAGATGTTCTTGATATGTGTAAGTAGTTCATATCATTTTTAGGGGTCAGTGCCACATGCTTGATCTATTCCTAGCACATCATGGATTTCTTGTGAGAAAAAATAAGTTTTGACCCCAGGAAGACTGCATGGATCAATGCAGTTGTGTTCCAGATTTTGCTATTTCCTGAGTTATTAACATTTTGCGGACTGGCGATTTAAATATTTAAATCACCCTGGCAACCAGCATTTTTATACCTACTACCCTAACTTGTGCACTGTTCACTTCAAAAATTAATATAAAATCTAATTAATTTTATGAACTAAAATTTTTGGAGAACACTTACCAATGCTAGAAGTGCTTGAGAGCGTGATATTTCTGGAAACATTCCCCTTTGTGAAGTGGCATTACACAGAACTTGCAAATATAGATAAACTCCTTTTTTTTAGAACTGTGCAAACATGGCATTGCCTAGAAGGATGCTTCCCCTTGGAATGTTCACTCTTAACAATTTTCACAAGGGTAGGTTTCCGCATATCACCCAAGAGTCGCCCAGGGGTGTCCACATGAGGCCTACGTGGGGTGGGAGTTGATGGGCTAGGTCGCACTAAGTCTGTCTGACTCTTGTTCTGCCGCCACCATCTGGTCTGTAGCCCAAGCCTTTGGCACATTCATCAGAAATGCTTTGTATTTCAATTTTGAATCAGGGTTTAGATTTTTGTAAACCAAAAAGGAATTGAAAATGGCACAATTTATAAGCCACAAGGCAACTTTCACTTTTATTATCTGTGGCCACAATTCTTTGTTGACCCCTGTCACTTCCACTGTCTGAGTCACTAAATCACTACTCCTCCACGAGGCATGTCAGATAGCTCATTGGAAAACAAGTCAGAGAAATCGCTTTGCCTTCAACCGCTTTTGTCCTTGAAATATATTCCCCTCTACTAACTTCCTGCCTGGTACATAAACAGCTGAAAGGGGCAAAGTTTATTTTCTTTTGGAGTAGGGACCCTAGCCAGCCAGGTCAAGTTACTGAATACCTACCATACATTCCGAAGATTTATTACGCAGTATTCATTGCAGTTGCATGGCGCCAGATCACGGTATAATGTGTTACAACCTAACGTGTCCTAAAATCATGATATCATGCAACCGGTCCGCCACATTTAAAAGCAAAAAGCATGATATCATGTGTCCAGTCCGCAAAGTGTTAACACTTCGCGGACCGGTGATTTAAATATTTAAATCGCCTTAGGGAGTGATGGAATTTTCTTCACCCCTGGATTCCCAGTAAACTGTCCCAAAGCAGGCGTTTTGTCTACTTTTCCCCATGTGGCTGTCCCTGCAATGTTGCTACCCGCACTTTCGTCAGAGCTACTGTCATTTTCACTGTCTGTGGCCACAATTTTTTGTTCGCCCCTGCCACACTCACTATCAGATTGTGAATCACTATCACTAGCAGACTCACAAGGGACGTCAGCTCATCGGAAAACAAGTCAGATATTTCTTGTTCTCCGGGAAAACGCTTGGACCTCAAATTTTCTTTTGGAGTGGGAAAGGAAAACAGTTGGGTTATAAACAGCGGGGTCATGTTACTGACTACGAAGCAAACATTCAAGAGGTCTGTCACACACCAGTCATGTCTGCCTGGCTCCAGTGCAAGGTATAGTGTGTTTCAACATAACGTGTCCAAAAATCATAATAATATGCCACCGGTCCGCAGAGTGTTAAGCATATACAGTATTCCAGGAATTGGCTGTGCTTCCATCTTCAGGTGATTAGTTGTCACTATACTGATAATGGTTTGATGGTTAGCATACAAGTTTGGTCAGAATTACTGGTTTTTCAGACGTAGTCCATTGTCTGGTGTTCTGATAACTAGAAAACACAATGTCTTGGATACTGGATTAGTTTACATCCTCTTGTGTGTGTGGGGGGGGGATGGGGGGGACTATTCTGTTCAGTCTCTTAAAAAGAGCTCAAACACTGTCAGATTCACTATAGCTATTTAATTACCTGAGACGAGGCCAATTCAGAGGGAGATAACAGAAAGTTATGCAATAAAAATTGTGATAAAGCACGAAAATTCTTGGAACTAGGATAGAAATGGAGGCAAAAATTGATGCTACAAACCTAGCGAATAAAACCAAGTTCACGAGCACCAGTGTATAGAGAAAATGATAATTTGTGAATTTGTGATAATATGTGGAGTAAAACCTGAACACTCAAGACTGAAACCTTATAAAAATCCATGAAGAACCTGTCATATCCTATAGATCTTCTCTGAGTTTGTAAACTCATTACTGATAAGGAGGATCCAGATGGGAGAAATGGTTAAGCATGATACATGGGCCGATCCCCCCCCCACCCCATCAAACCTGAGGACAGAAATGGATCCAGTTTCTAAAACGTTGTGTTTCTAGTTTTTATAAAACTGGTCAGTGGACAGAGTCTGAATACCCAGTAATTCTGAGTATTATACACCATTGTCAGAACCCCTTAGAATCTATAAGTTTGGTGTTCAAAATGTTTCAGGTTTGTTCATTATCCCTTTCATTGATATCAAAAATAAAAAATAAACAGTGTACAGTGGGCCACATTTTATTTGGGGATGCATTCCTGAAGAGCTTGCATAATTAAAGACAAGTTTTCTCATAGGAATAACATATGCATGATTTTTGCGATTTTGGGGGGATTCACATTATTTGAAGCCTTGTGCACAAAGTGAGACTTTATTAATATTTTTTGTATCACACTATTTAAAATTTGCATGAAGTGCAACCACACTTTATCAGTATAATGACAACACCATTGCCTGAAAAGGAGGTATAGAGCCAGCTCTCAGAATGCTACATGCTTTAAATATATCTCAAGCAGTGGATAATGTCCAATATAATTTTGGTGTAATGAATTGCCATTGTCACAGTCCTTCACAGGATCAAATCTCTGTGTTGTTTGTGTGTAGGTACAGTCAGGATTTTCAGTTTTCACTGCCATTCATTTACCTTTCCCTTCATCCTCTACTTCTTTTACCAATGTTCTTAATAAATAAACCCTTTCATATTCAGATCATTCATAAAGTAGCACTGACTCAGTTATAGAAGTTGTTGTGAAACTGCGTGCTTTGGGTTCACAGCAAAATCATATAGCATTGCTACACCAGCAGTGGAGCCCTGGCCATTTCATTGGGGTTGAGTGGTTTGCAGGGCATCGCGCTTCAACTTGCTGTAACATTTTCTTTTATAATAGAGTCAGTGAGATGTTCAGACTACCAAGTTGTTGTATATATTGCCACTCATATGGAGTGGCTGTAGACAGGTTTTGGATTGATAATAGGATCTACTGAACTCTTAGAGATTGTAGCTATAAGTAACTATAGTCCTACTGCTAAGTCACGCACTCTGCAGTTCACTACAACACATCCTGAGTCTTCTCAGGCTGCTGTATTCGTTGCTGGGTAGTGGCTTCCAACAGTGGACAGATGTTCATCTTACTCTGGGTTCCTGAACTATCCCAGGCATCAGCTGCCAGCTTCTCAGAGCAACAGCTTACAACATCTGAATCACAGCAGTCCTGTAACTAACTCAGTCACTCACCTGCCGACTCCACTCCACTCACCAAAAAAACTTAGCGTGTGCTGTAGTGATTTGTAAAGTGCGGAGATGGGCAGTAGTGTTATAGTTACAACTTGTAAATGGTCAGTAAATCCAGTCTCCAATCCAAACCCCATCTATAATCACTCATACACGCGATAGTATAAAACATTATTTTGTATGGGTGAACAGAGTAAGATGAATAAGACCTGAAACAGGATGATGCATGATGCCCAAAGGGTCAGTAATTGTAAAGTAACATGAAGTACTTCAAAATGAAGTTCTCTGGATAATTTGGACCTAAGAATGACCTACATGAAGTCAGAAATTGAAGCAATTATGTAATGGACTATGAAGCTATTGGAGCAAATACATATATGGCATGTATAGAAATTGAATTTCCAATTCTTATGAACATATATCAGTCCATTGTATACCCATACAACTTATCTTTACTACTTCGTGTATGAACATTTACTCTTTGCTTCTACAGTAATTCAAAAGCCTGTTTTAGAACAAATACCTCTGTTTCAAATTGCACTACTCTTGTTCAGTGAAGTGTCAGGAAATATTGTCAGAGGGTGCTAAGATAAAGTGAAATTTAATTTAGAATGAGTGCACAATATGATGGTAGTTACTTCTTACCCAAAAATGTCCAAAGTGGTGTGCAGTGTTCAGAAATAGGTGCACAAGTGTTTTTCTTTTCCTGGTGGTTTACTTTATAGTACTTTCAGAATTGAAGACTCTGTAGTATCAGATGGTAGGATAACAGTTAAATTAGAAGTGATTCAGAAGGAACTGGTAGTCAGGGCCTGATTGATTTACTGTCCTTGCATTTGAATGTGGATACTGAAAAAAACGCTAAAAATCTCAGGTTAGCTGAAGAATATTGCCTGCACATTTTAAAAAGTTTTTGCCATGATAGTGCTGCAGCACTGAAGAAGATGGGTTTCTGAAACAGTGTTGCCGCAGATGAAACGCGGGTACATAGTTTTGCCTCAAGAAACAAAGCATGCTATGGTCATACATATTCTTCACAACCAAACAGTTCAAAATTGAACTGTCCGCTGGAAAGATTGTCACTGTTCTGTGACATCTATGGTCCTTTGGATTTGTATTTCCATGAATATAGGAGAATAGTTATAAGAGCTTCTAAGTCAAGTCTTTTTCATTACTTTGAAACCAAGAAGTTGTTCTGTAATGATAGGAGTTATCCTGCCGCAGGACTCTGCTCATCCTGCTGTATTAAGGATTGCCACATCTGCTATATATCCATTTAGCATAGTTGGTTCAGGCACTCTGCTACAAGCCGGAATGTCATGGGTTTGAGTCTAGATGAGGTCATTGGATTTTTCAGTTGACCTAATCGCTCGGTCTCCATTATGGCCCTGGGGTCGACTCAGTCTCTAACAGAAATGAGTACCAGGAATATCCCTGGGGGTACAGGGCAGCCGGCACATAAGACCAGTTTTCTATAAAATGTGGGAACCTCGACAATTTGCAACCCTATGGTCCCCCCATGGCCTGTTACAGGGATAGCTTTACTTTGCTTACTTTATCGCGTATGTTGCCCATTCTGAATTACACATGTTTCAGCCACTTAAATAGCACTCAGAGGGCATACATCCTAAGACAGCGCACACTTTTAAAATTCTCTTTTCCAGAACCACTTATCCTTGTCGAGTCAAAAAGCCCTTTAGTAACTTGAGCAGATGTGCTGCAGTGGGAGAGGAATACATACAGTGAAGAGCAATGTTACATTCACATTTCTGAAACAGACGGATTTTGGGGTTTATTTAATTTCATCTAACTTATTGATTTATGGTTGAATCTTAAATATCCTGCTAGTCATAAAATTACCACTTCGTTCTACTGCCGTCTTTTCCACTCTTGTTCAGAATTTATCTCATGGATTTCTGTAACACAGAGAAGCTTCCAGTTTTATAATTTTTATAGAAAATCACTTCTGTTCACTTCTTTGCATCTGAGAGTACTCAGTTAGTGTAGATTTACAATTAGGGATAGCTTGGTGCAGACTGTCCTTGCTGTGGGGTAGTGTGCAGTGTGGAGGTGAGTGTATGGATAAAATGTGTAACCATGTTTAATGAATTATTTTGCTTTTTGCAGGCAGAGATACGTGGAAATGGCAATCAACGAATCCAAATGGATATCAAGTATCCAAATGAGAAGGCTGTCTGCAATTTGCAATTAAGGAATATATTTGGAACAGTGACATGAGTAAAATTAACTGAAATAACCATCCAGTAAATGGTGTAAACATTATAAGTGCCTGTCCTCAGTCTCTATACCAAAGAAACATACACATATATGCCAGCAATTTTAAGATGTGTAAGACTAAATTTTAGACTGCTAGAAACATTGGTGGCATGTGTGTCTTCAGTGGCTCATACAAGTAAACCAACTTGTGGTTTCTTACCACATAGTAGGCGAGTACTTCAAAACCAAGCTCAGGCTATAAAGCCAAAGATAACCAGTCTTGCCAAATTATTTAGTTTAAAACTGCAATCTAGTACAAAGCTCTAAAATGTTATTTTATGGTTATATTTATTGTAGTGCAAAATAATGTTTCACAGTATTGTAGTTTATATCTGTTATATGGAAGAGATATCTCTGTTTACTACATAATTTGACATTAATTACTTCACTGTTTCCCCACAAAGTTTATTTGTGGGTTTAATTTTATTCTCAGTAGAGAAGGCAGTTGTTTCCGTAAACACCATTGAACCTTGTAATGAAGACATTGTGCCTGTGTTCTTGGCAAGACCTAACTTTTGAAATATTCAGATGAGCTTTGTCTGGTATAGGGTTAACAAAGTTCTGTTGAATATGGTCCACCCCCTCTATTAGCTTACTTACATTGACAGGCTGTTAATATAATAATATCAGTTCCTTATCTTCAGTTCCTAGACTAATTATGTTCTGTTTGTTTGTGACTTTCCAGATTCGGAATGTTTACAGTGTAGCATTAAATGGTACGTTGATGATAGAGATAGCTTTATGGCAGCGGCTAAATTAGAGTCTTTACATTTAGCATAGTTTTATTAAGATTATATTTTTTTTTTTGGGGTTAATGTGTATTATAAGGGGATGGGTAATTTTATTTAGAGATGTCATTGTGTTCAGTAATAAAGACATTACAAGACTGGAAGCTTAAGTAACTTTGGAAGGGTATGACATACATACAGTTACCTGTATGAGTGACTCTTGATGGGATCTTAGATTGGAGATTAGATTTATTGACAAATTTAACACACAACTCGTAATTACGCTTAATTATGGCACCATCCCTAATTTCCACACTAGAGTACATGCTAAGTCTTTACCAGCTCACAGTGTCTTCACTAATTGTTGCCTGGTAATGGCTTCAACATTGGCTATTTCCCTGCTCCCATGCTCAAGTCCTCTCTGAATGGTAGGTCTCTTCCAACTGAACAAAGTGAAAGTCAGAGTTACTTTATGACAAGCAGTTTACTGCCAATCAGTTCATCTTGATGCCAGGCCCCTGGAGATACACAACCAGAGACTTTTATTCCAACTGAACCCTTCTAGTAATTGTCCTTATGTAACATCCTCTCTGATGAGAAGATGGTTTTGTCTCTTATGAATGTGCTTGGCTCTTTGTCAGGTGTACATTTTGCACATGTAACATGTTGAAAATTCTTCTGTCAGTACAGGCTTTACATAGGAGAGATGACTATCTTATGTATCTTATGCTACAGTGACATTTGAAAGGTCATAAGCTTGTTCACCACCAAGGTTAAGCCTCTTAATATATTTTCTGTGTCTGACTTCACCTTGTCCTATACCATGAACATGTTCCTTCTCATGAAGCAAGAGTATAAGTGTAAGTCATTACTGACCTGATCAGTGACTTATGAAGGGTTAGTTTAATGTTAGCGCCTAAATGCTCACTGTTGAATAGGGAGTAGTTTCTAATAAATGTTCTGAAGGCCTTCGCTTCAATCACATCTATGCGCAGTCTCCATGTAAGCCTTGTATCGAAGATTACACCAAGATAGTACTCATATTTTACATGATTGACAGAGGGGGATATTCCGTCCATTCAGTGTATGATGAGCCTCAGGAAATCTATGTCTATGAGAAAAGTAGATGGCCTGAGTCTTATCTTCATTGATTTTTATGCTCCAATGTTCACACCATGTCTCAGTAGCACTGAGACCTTGCTGTAGCTTTCTGAGAACATAACCCTCTTTTCATTCTGTCACATATACAGGGTGATTCACGAAGTTTTACCCCGGCTTATGGTACATATTCCTGGGGTTATTTCCTGCAAAATTTCCTTATAAACTTGTCGATTTTCAATCGTTACGTAGTAACAATAGATTTTCGAAACGCATCATTGTGAATGCAGCACTATGCTTCAGCTTGGGCGACCATACGTTCCAGTCAGCTATGTCAGCAGATAAGGTAGACTGGTTTGAATGTTGCGCGTAGGTAGATAGGCAGAGCGGTTCATACGCATGCAACGCATTGTGTTGACATGCAGGGAGATATTTTTGAAAATCTTATGTAAATCTAGTCGTCTTCTAAGGCACTGCAGTTTAAAGGAAACAGATTGATAGAAGGGTGTGATATGCAACCATTGGTATGTTTACAGAATGGGATGCTGAAAAGAATGTAATTTTGTGNCCTATTACGTGGCCGTTTTCCGTATTGTCCGATCAAGGCTACATAAGGAGCAGTGAAGGCTATTCACAGTCAGTTGTACTGAGTCAGTCAGTTAGTCCTGGAGCTACCGCTGAGTGAGTCCTCGAGCTACCTCCGAGTTAGTTCCGAGTTAGCCAGCAACTAGTCGTATTCTGGCATTTGGAGTGTACTAATTGTGATACTGCAGATAGCAGTAATCGTAAATCGGTAATTTGGGTGACTGTAAGTGCGAATGTGGAATAAAATTCGCTACATCAAATACGGCGTGAAGTTATTTGTCGCGATATACACCCGACACGTTACAGTATATTAACATTTTTTGTTCCAAATTACCTCAGGAATGCCCTCCCTAAGTGGGGTTAAAACTTCGTGAATCAACCTGTATACAGGTGTCATCAGCAAAGAGACGTAGATGGACACAAGGTGTGTTTGAGTTGCAGCATTTATATATAAACTGTACAATGTTGGGGTCAGGGCAGAACCTTGTGGCACCCCTGCTTGTATATCCCTTGGCATAGACATTTCACCTTCAACTGATACTCTGAATTTTCTCTGAGAAAGGAAAGACCCAATAAGCTTGATTAGACTGATCGAAAATTGTAATGTAGATAATTTATATAGCAAGCCAAGGTGTCATGTTGTATATCAAAGGCCTCTCAATATCCAGGGATACAGCAACCGGAGACATGTTATTACTGAAATTTAAGGTTATGTTCTGTCAGCCTTGTACATTGAAGTGTCGTGCTGTGACGGGCACCAAAAAACCAAACTGGCTTGCATTAAGCATGCCTTTTTCTTTAATGTGCCTTTGGACTATTTTCAGAATACCTTCTTTGAATAGCTTTCCTGTTGTAGACAAGAGGCTAATCAGACATAAATTATAAGGAAATTTTGGGTCCTTACCGGTTTTTTTTGTAAAACTATAAGTTTTGCTTCCTCCCAAGGCTTTGGAAAATGGGATAGCTGAAGGCAGTGATTAAATAAATATGTCGGATGTACGAGGTGTGTTCAAGTTCTAAGGTCTCTGATTTTTTTCTCACACAATAATCATACAAAAAATTTGAAACTTCTGTCACTTTTCAACGTAATCTCCCTGCAGCCATAAACATTTTTCACAACGTTGACGCCATGATTCCGTGGCTGCTGTGAACGCTTCTGTAGGAGTAGGAAATGCCAACTTTGGAGGCGATGCTTTCCACACTCAATCGGTGATCCTCCAAAACAACTTTCTCAACTCGCTCAACCATGTTGTCAGACCGGCTGGTGTGAGGCCGAGATTGTTTTGGTTTGTTTCCACACGACGTTCGGCCTTCTTTGAACTGTCGCGCACCCACGAACGCACATTTCTCACATTCATGACACCATCAGCACGTGTCTCACTCAACTGGCGATGAATTTCAATGGGTGTCACACCACACAAGTGGAGAAAACGAATGATTATTCGCTGTTCTTCTAACGAAAACGTCGCCATTTTAGGTATCAAAAACACTCCTCACTCTCGCTGCCACCACTAGAGTTCTGTGTGCCATACAGTGCTGCCATCTCTGTCACGCATTCACAAAGAGTGCACACGTATTTTAAACTAAACCACATGTGTCTATCTGCTCCCAGTCCTGAGAAAAAAAATCGGAGACCTTAGAACTTGAACGCCCCTCGTATCAGTTGTCTTCTTGGAAGATGCCTAAGGCATTCATTTGGAGTACCATCAAGTCCACAAGTCTTTCGCAGTTTTAATGAATTTCATAAGTTATGTATGTCACAAGGTCTTACTTTCTGCAGTGGGTTGTTACCTACAGATGTGAGCAGAGCTTGGACTGTAAGTCTCCACCTGTCACTCGTGGTTTTTGTCATACAGGTCACGAGATATGAATCGTTTTTCTAAACAGCCCGCAGTCACGTTGACATTCTGATTTGGGTGATAAGTTATTCCTAAAGGTTCATGAACAGCGGTTGGTGCCTTTGGGCTATCCCTTTTCATAACCTATTTCACAGTAGGCCACAGAACTTGAGGTGTGACCGCACAGTTCTGTACTTTTGTTTCCCAACCATTCTGGTGCCTTTCTACAGGTCATTCATCTGATGGTTTTGGCCACCCAATTGAGTGCCATTTTACATGCTGGAGCCCAGGTTACTTGCCACAGTTTCCTTAACCTCCGCTTATATTTTAGCAAGCTTTCCAGACGATGGATATTCCTATTAAGGTCCAAGAGTGTAATTTTTCAATTAAATTTTGTGTCAGACTAGGTAAAAAAGTTGCAGAAATCCACAGAATGTTGTGTGAAGTTACAGCTCTGAGGCTTTAAGTAAAATGATCACCTGCAAATGTACAAATATTTGGAAAGAAAAAGAGTATCAAAAGATGATTAGTGGTCAGGTGCACTTACAGCTCTGAGAAACAGTTTTTGGCCCAAGTGAAAGACACCCATGAAAATCATTGACTCACTGTATGAGAAGTAGCAGAAGAATATTGACTACCCATTGGCTCATGTAATGCAATTTTAACTTAAGATTTAGGGATATATCACATGTAGCCAAAATTTGTGCCAAGGCTTTCAACTGAAGATCAGAGAATTCGGTGAATTTCGGCTTGTTTAGATTCCCTGCAATGATGAAATGATTAAATTTTTTTAAAAAGTAATCACTGGAGGTGAGACTTGGGTGTGGGACTCTGACATTGAAATAAAATGAGAGTCATTGCTTTGGAAAAGTCCTGATTTGCTGCACCCCACATAAAAAGCACAACAGATGTGTTCAAAAGTGAAAATTAGTATTGGTCTTTTCTGTTTCGGTTGTTACTGCTTTGTTCATCATGAGTTTTATCCACAGTGAAGACTATTAATCAGTTCTTACTCTATGGTACAGTAGTTCTGAGGTGTGTGAGGGATGTGGTATGAAGGAAGCAACTGGAAATGGGGCTTGCAGGAACATGACATCTGCATCATCTCTCACAGGATTGCTGATTGGAGAATCCTTGGCAAATCATGGCCCTTGAGAAGATGTTTTCAGATGGGCAAGAAGACCATTATGAATACAACAAATTAACTTAGAGCAACTCAACAAACATCCTTCAAACAATGCTGCAAAAAGTGGTTTCAGCTGTGTATTTGCTGATTAAGGAAATTATTTTCAAGGGGATAAGTGTAACTAAGCTACAGGTCTCTTGATATAGTGTTATTATGGTGAAATTCTTCACACTTTCTGGTCAAATCTCACACAGTGTATGATATACATACTGTGCACTTTAGGTATAGACATGTGTGTAATTTGGCCATATGGGCCTTTATGTTGTTGGGTTAAATGTATTTTAATACAACAAAGCAGTCAAACAAGTTTCAGTTCCTGTTTGTTTATAAGAGGCTTTATGAAGACACTGAATATTGATGAACACAATGGTGATGTCATGTGTGCTGTTATTTAGTGTTATATGGATGGCTTTTTGCCCAAAGTATACAATGTGATGTAATAAAATTTTTCACTTGTGTCTCTTCAAATTGCTTTGTTTCTGTACATTGACACACCTTTGTCCAAAACTAGCCAAGAAAACAGTGTGGTAAGGGTTAATAAAATATATTATCACATGTTTCAGCGACTAAGACGCGGGTTTGGATTGGTGAATCAGTTTATTGGATCTTGACTGGCCATAACTACAATTACACTCTCAGGATTACTGTAGCTGTAGTACATGTAACATCACACTGTAAGTCTTCTAATTCTTCTTCTGGCCACACAGCTGTTCCCTTGGAACTTTGGAACTTGAAGTGAAGTCAATTCCCATTCATGTATTCTCTCATATCTTCTTGACACAGACCACACGCAGAAAACATAGCCCTTCTATTGTTGCATGTTGCAGACCACATTTAAAACAGGGCACGTGATAGCCAACACCTCAATAAATACTTCATAATGTCACATGTTGGGTATATGTCACGCAACAAGTTACTTCACACCATATTTGATATAGCAAATTTATTGCACATTCGCTCTTAATTACACAATTACTACTGCCATCTGCAGTAACACAATTTATCACATCAAATCTTCTAACCATGTGTTCGGTTCTTCTTCCTGCGACTGCTGCTATATTTCAACTGTCTTCGGCGGCAGCTGCTACATTTTAACTAACTTTGGCGGATGCTACATTTTAACTGTCTTCAGCGGTTGCTGCATTTTAACTGACTCCTTAGTCCAAGTCCAAGTCACATTGCGTCTGACGTTCAGTCAGTCAGTCAGTAAGTCTTGGTGTCCGCTCTGACGAGAGGACGGGTCTATCTTTTTTTACATGCTACTGGTCCTTGCCAGCGCAGTCTTTCTTGGGTTTGAGTCCCTTGGGACTCGCGACCGTATTTTACTGTCTCAGATTTGAGACTTCTTTTTTCGTCACATCCTACGACTCGCAGGGTCACGGTGGAGGTATTCGACCCCACCTCCACACGGGTGCTGACTCCTTCCAAGTCCAAGTCACATTGCGACTGACAGTCCGTCAGTCTGTCTGTCTTGGTGTCGATCCCCATTTTTTTTTCTTTCTTATATGAAAGTTACTGTCCTGCTATTTTGGGGCGCCTTCTCTGACGAGAGGTCGGGTCTGTCATTTGTCAGTCTTAGTCCGTATTAGTATGTCCATTTTCAGTATTTACATATATTTACATTTTTAATCTTAATTCCTATTTCTATGTACAATATATACAAGACCTCTGTCAATCCAGGCTCGGTACAGCAGATTATGCCCTATTTCTAGTAATATTCGCTACCACGGCAGTCTAGTCACTTGAACGGTCGTATGCCTGACCGCCGCCAAGTTTAAGTGAAAACTTTGTTTGGGAGAGAATTGAGAGATAAGTGAATTATGTTTTAAATCTAATATAATGTCTTTCTTCAAGTCTTACGGATTTTTAAGATAAGTAAAAAAAAAAAGGAGCGAATGAACCAGAATTGTTGTGCTGTGTGTGTGTGTTCCCTAGCTTGTACCTCGTTTGAGACAGCAGTTCCATGACTGTAATGTCTGCTTGCTCCGTGCTGTATGTTTTTCTTGGCATACTCTTCGACCGTGAAGAGAGAGGAGATATATTCTTCTGAAATGTCGGTTGACTTTCATTCCACCACCTGTCGTTATAACCTAGGTCTTAGTCACATACAAGGAGAATCTTTAATTACAAACCTTACATATAAGCAGCGTGCTGTACACTTACAGGCAAGCAGAAACAGTCACATAAATACGCGTACATGGTTGCAACCGCTTCGTTAGCTACATATGGCAATGAGGAAAGAAGAGGAGGGAAAAGTAGTTGTGGATAAAGAGTTTATTAGCTGTGAGCAGAACGGCGGCTTGCAGAAGGTGTTGAGACAGTCCACCATTTGTCAATGCGTAAAGAGAACTGAACAAAGAATTTCTGGTCCGCTGGAAGACGTCAGGCATGCTGCGTATTATCGTCACAACGCTTCAGTGGCATTCCACAATTCCTGCTACGTGTTAACATCGTTGAGCGAAAATGTTCTTCAAATGACCCCACAAATAGAAGTCGGCAGGAGTGAGCTCGGATGGTCACGGAAATCACATAACTCGTCCGTTTCGTCCTCTCAATCGACGTAAGTAGTGAGTGTCTAAATACTGCATGCCATTGCGAGAAGAAGAGACAGAACCCCAACATGCGGTACCCTCACTGTCTGCCGCGTTGCTAATGGTATGTCGTCCTGTAACTGTGGTAACTGTTGTGATGTAGGAAGCCCCTGATAGTCGAGGTGGTAGCTCATAGGGCCCAGGAGAAGGTCGCCAGTTATTCCCGTAAAAACATGTACTGCAAACTGCTGTTGGAATCAGGTATCTTGAAAGAAATTTGGATTTTTATGTGCTTTTGTCACGAATATTAAAAATCCCATTTCGTGTGAAACATCCTTCATCTGCAACAGTCGGCTGAAAAATGTTGAAGACGCTGCATCCCGCAGCAGGAGTCATTCGCAGGATGATTTTTGACGCTCACAGTCGAGCAGAGGTTACATAGCTTGAACGTGCTGTACTTGGAAGGGATACAACATGTGATCATGCAACACCCTGACTACCGTTCGCTGGAAAATGTGGTGACGACGGCCAGCAGCGTGGTAGTACCACGGGATCATTCTATGGCACGCAGAACATCTTCCACATGAGCTCCTGAAACTTCGTGGTTAGCCGAGGTTTGTTATACTGTTACGTCTTGCGACGGGCTCTGTCGCGACTGTGCTCCGACAGAGTACAAACAAATACCTACAAGACAACACATGAATTCTCCATATACCACGTGATAACGTCTCGACAATAGTCTCAGTACATCCAACTTGCAACCCGATTAAATGGGAGATAAGGCATCATAACATCATACCCACCTAGGAAGGAACCATACCAGAGCGACCAGTATACCAGCGAAATGACTAATATATATAGTATATATACATATATTTTAATCTTAATTTCGACCTTAATTTAACTTTCAACTAGATATATAGTAATATAATTAATTATATCTAATTCCAACATGATCGGAATAAAAAGTAGATAATACCATGAGTTTCGTTATCGGATATAAAAAACTCAATATACAAAAACTTATTCCCCATTACAAGTGCCTCTGTTCCAGCGGTAACTACATTGATACTACATACGGGTATGTATTGTGACATGTTGCGCAAAGCCGAGCCCCCCCCCCCACACCAGCAGTGACGCGGTGGGTGAGTCAGC